CCCCTGGCTCAGTCGGGCCCGTCTGGGTACTGCCCTCTTCACAATACCTTGGCGCAGGGACGACGTGTCCCACCAATCACATCACCTTATTGACAGGCTAAGCAGAAGCGTCGGGGGCTCGGACATCTCAGAGTCCCTCCAGGACTGCTGTGGGTGCAGGGCTTGTCCGGACCCAGTGCATCCCCAGGAGCGGCCAGTACGGAGAGGCCCCAGATACTCCAACACCAGCCTGGCTCCCCGCTCGGGAGAAGCTGGGTGCACTGGACAGTGGGACCCTGGGCCCCAGCGGGGTCTCCCTGGCAGGCTGTGGAAGAGCTGTGGGAGCTGGGCCCCGAGACCGACCCACAGGACATGCTAGTTTCAGGACGCATCCAAGAGGAGGCCTCTACCCATCTTGGTCAAAGAGCCAGGGGGATGAGGAGTCCTGGGATGGTTTGGGGGAAGCCAGTATGGGGTGCCGGTGCCGGAGTGAGGGCTCGTCCTCCTGGAAGTAAACCACACACGGTCAAGGCCAAAGTGGGGTTAAGTCCGGAGGGCTGAGCCCAGGCTGGGATTCTCTGGCCCTGGGCTGCAGGGCAACAGGAAGGGAGCCATTGGCCTGCTTTGCGGCCCTCAGAGCCGGTCTGGCCGAGGGGTGCAGGGTGTCTGAGCAGCTCACCGAGTCGGAGCCCAAGTCGGTAGGAGCACTCTGGAAGTCAGCGTATGCATCCTGGGGGCCATCCAGCAGCTCCTCCTCGTACTCGGTCTGGTAGTCAGACTCATCTGGGTGGAGGGCAGGGCCATGTTGGTCTTCTCAGAGGGCAGGGACCATGACACAGGGGCACAGGTCCCCACATGCAACCAACAGGTCCAGGGGCTGCCAGAGGGAGCTTGGTGGCCAGGACAGCTTGTTGGGGGTGTCAAGGGGGAGCAGGGGACGCTGCCACCGTCACCCTTAGCTGTGTGGGCATGTCCCAGGGTCCAACTCACCATCAACAGTGGCTACCTTGGCAGGCTCGATCCGTGACACAATCTCAGCCAGGTCCGTGAAGGAGGCGTTGGGGCAGGTGAGGATCTGGGGGCCAAGGCAGAGGAGATATCTGGCCAAGCTGCTGACCACAGCCCCACCCTCCCTGTGATCTAGTCCTGGAGTGGGGGCGGGTTGGGGGCCAAGGCATGGACAGTGGGCACTGTCCTCTCCCACAGGAGTCTTTCAAGGGTGGAGCACCAGAGGTGGGTAAAGAGAGGGTTTTGCTGGGCAGAGGTCAGGACACAGCCCCCCAGTCCTCTCCTCTGCCCTCGCCCTTGTCTTCTGTTCCAGAGGGCGGAGGGGTGGCGCCCACAGGCCCAAGCAGGTGAGAGGGTGTGCCGAGGGGCTGCGGCTGCAGGGAGCCTGCACCTCTCCCATACGGGGCAGTGGAGGCCGAGTCACGGCGGGGAAGAAGCACCCAGCCTGGCTCACGTCGCACGGCTTCATCCTGCTGGTCCCCTGCCGGTCCTGCAGCATCTTCTCCAGCACACCGCTCCGGCCCCAGATGTCAAACACTGTCCGCCCGTGCTGGTAGCCCACTTCCTGCACACACAACGGGCACCCCGTGACCTCTCAGGTGTGTGAGCAAGGAGCCCTGGGCGGGGGGCAGCTGGGACACTCACACAGATCTCGTCGAACTTGCCGAAGTCCAGGGTGCCGTAGCCATCGATGGGGGGGCGCAGGTACTCGCAATAGTCACTGCTCTTCACCATCTCCAGCTGCCGGACGCAGCACACATAGGCCAGGCGCGTCTGGATCTCCGCCATGTTCAACACCTGCTATGTCACGGCCACTGAGCACAGCTGTCCTGTCCCCACGTGGCCATGGGTGGAGCCACTGTGTCTGGAGCCCTGGCCCCCTCCCACCCCTCCCCACTCCCAAGTGGGGTCTATCTATCTCTGCTAGACCCGAGGGAAGGCTGGGTGCCCAGCCAGGACTTCTGTCCCCTTCCTCAGCGCTGGTCCCAGGTGGGCAGGGACAGTGAGTGAGTGCCCACAGCCCCACTGGACCTGGAGCCTGGAAAGGGCTACCCCCCTCACTGCCCATCTCAGGGTCTCAGGGTCTCAGGGACACGGGCACCAGGGTGTGACGAGGAGTGGGTGGGTACATGGGGCTGTGCCCCGACCTTGACTTTCGTGGCCAAAGGATTCCAGCGCTTCCACAGCAGCCACCACCCGGAGAGCGCATCCCCATAGTTGGTGAGATCCGTCTCGTCCTGGCTGCCCACATCGATGGCAATCACCACCTTTGCGCCCATTGACCTGGCCACATCCGCTGGGGAGGAGATGGCCTTGGTTACCACTGGGGACAGGTACACAGAGCCCCAGATGGGACCAGGGCTGGGGAATGGGGGCAGAGTAGGGGAGGGCAGGGATGAAGTGGAGGTGGGGGCAGAGCCTGCCTTAGAGAACCTGAGGAGGGAGCTGGGGGTTGGGAAGTGAGGGAGGTCAGGAGGGTGGTCTCCTCTCCACAGTCACCGGGGCTTGTGGAGGGGCAGCCAGTGAACAGAGCTGTCCAGCAGGTGACAGGTGTGCTCCAGGAGGGGCCTCGCCCGGAGCAAATACGACACCTGCAGGCTGTTAGTTCTGACTGTGCGCAAACGGGGCATAATTGCTCCGCTCCTCTCTTGGCCTGGTTCTAAGCGCTGCTGAGCCGACAAACGGAGCCATATGCTGGGAGCACGTGGTGCTGCGCGTGCGTGTGCGCGGGCCTGGATTCCCCGGCACGCAGGAACGGGGCGCTGAGACAGGGCCAGGGGGCAGGCCCTCCCAGCCCGCCCGCCCGCCACGGTACCTGGGAGGTTGTTGATATAACCTCCGTCCATCAGCAGGTGTCCATCTTTGGGGTCGCAGAGTGGGGGCATGTAGCCCGACAGTGACATGCTGGCACGCACATACCTCCACAGGGAGCCTGGGAAGGGTCCAGCGGGTCACGGGAGGGGAAGGAGCCCTCATGCCCAAGGTGAGTTCCCACCCTAGGCCCCTGGCTCAGAGTCCTGCATGTCTGGCCTCCAGTCGAGGGCACCAGGCCCGGCCAGATGAGGGACTTGGAGGCCAGAGGGCCAGGCCAGCTCTGGATCTCCCCATATCCCACTGTGCCACCGCCTTCTGCCAGCCCTGCTGTCTGACTCACACCCCCAGCCAGACACAGTTCACGTGGCTCCCAGACACTCTGCCCTGGAGGGCCCTCAGCGGCCCAGCTACGGTCGGCTCTCTCCTCTGGGGCCTGTCCAGCAGTCCCAAGTGCTGACTCAGTCCACACACAGCCGTGACCCAACTGTGCCCTCACTCTGCCCACTCCCCGCAGCTGACCCCCACTCCATGCGTACCCTCCAGCTTCTGGGTCCACGGCAGAGTCACCTCTGTTCAGACCTCCCTCAGCTTCCTCCCTCCTTTGGGCGACCCTGGGGCTTCCCTCTGCCTGGCCTGGACCTGGCCCCTTAATGCCCCTCCCCTGAGCTGCTCTGCCCCAGGCGGGGAGCCTGCAGTCTGGGAGCTGTGCTCACCATCAGTGTGGACCCTCATGGCGGAGGCCGTGATGTCCGTGGTGATGGTGAAGTAGGGGACCCACAGGTCCTGTGAGGGAAGCGGGGCTCAGAGGGGCTGCCCCACCATAGCCAGCCCTCCACCCTATGGGTCCAGGGCACCCAGACCCAGGCAGGAGGAGGCTCTGGGCCCTGCTGGGGCTCCAGGCAGTCCCTGAGGGGGCACCTCAATCTGCTTGTCCCGGAAGACACTGCAGAGGCTGCTGTTGAAGCCGGCCCCCGAGAACACGGAGGTGATGGGGTAGGTCAGGTCCAGCATGGTCTTCACCACTGATGTCATATCCTGAGCGGGGGGGGGCACGTATGAGACCCCTGCAGAGCAGGAGGGCCCACACCCCAACCTGCAGGCACAGGCAGCAGGCCACCCTGCGTCATCCAGCCAAGAGCCTGCATCAGGAGAAGGGAGCAGGGACAAGGCCACCCAGGAAGCATCTTGGGGGGCCTGGAGTGGGAGGATGTGGCCGGAGTGTCAGGGCCTGGAGGTCCCATGGGAACAGCAGCTGGCCCTCCCGCAGGCCTGCTCAGTGGGGACAGTGAAGGCACACTGGCACGAGACCACGGTGGAATGAAGGCCAAGCCCCAGCAAGCCGGGGAGGGCAGTGTGGACGCTCAGTGGCCCTGGTCCTGGACGGGCCTCATCCCTGCCCAGAACCAGAGGGGCCCACAGAGCAGAGCCTGGCAGATCCCACAACCAGGCCACCACGCCCACATGTCAGGGCCCAGGTCCATGCAGACAGGTGGAGCCAGCAGATGGCCTGGGAGGGCTCCATCCCACATGCCCCACAGGGCAGCCCCTCTGTCCAGCACACACGCAGGATGCGGGGATGTTAGGCCCAAAGCTGCCTGGCTAGTCCCACACCCGTGACAGACTAGCAGAGTAAGGAAGGGAGAGGGCTGCCCGGGCCTGCGACCCGAGCCCTGCTGAGGCTGGAGCACTGTCCCTGCGGCCACTGCTCTCCTGGGCTGTCCTGAGTGACAGGCCAGCAGCCTGCGGCCCCTGGGACAGCTCACTTCAGGGAACAGGGCAGACAGCCTGCTCTGAGACCTGTGCAGAGGATGACCAGTCTCCTTTTCTGTTTGAAAGGAAATTGCAAACATTTTTGATCCCACTCATGGTTTCAGCCAGGGCTCCATCCTGTTCCACAAAAACAAGTAGACCCCAAGAAGGGCAGACTGCAGCCTGCCCTCCCACCCGCAGCCCCTCTGCTCCGCCTGGGTTCCCAGAGCCTGGGCTGCACCGGCGTCCCTTCATCACGCGGCCATCGTACTGACGATGTGTATTTCATACTTTCCGTGTCCCTGACGCTCTGGCCTTTGGGTCTCGTACACCCGGGAGAGTCACAGCCCAGGACTCACCCAACCCATCCAGTGTCCGCCCCGACCACCTACCTCTCTCTAACCCACACACCAAGCCCAAGTCACCCGGGGAAAAGTACCAGGCAACTGGGGACAGCCCCGATGCCCCCAAACCTGCCAGGATTATTTGAACGGGTGGCCCTTAAGCTGCGTGCCCTGCCCTGCCTCGCCCTTCCCACAGAGACCCCAATAAGGGCCCTGACCTAGGCCTCCCCCTGCCTCCTGACTGGCACCGGTGCCCTGGGGGCCCTGTGGGGCAGGCATGCCTCTCCGTGTGGAGAACTGTGGGTCCATTAACCTCTCCTCAGCCCCCTCTGTACATTAAGACACCAGACACCAGCCAGAGCCAACCCCCAACACGGATGAGCTTCCTGCCTCTGTGTTCTCACTCCAACCTACAAGCCTCGCTCCGAGGCCAGAACCCCACAGAGCCACACGCAGGGGCCACGGGTCCCCTGCCCTTCTTCTACCCACAGCACTGCAGGGACGGCGCGGAGGTCCTCACCTCAGCCCACTGTTTGGCGCGGATCCGTATCTGGCTGTAGTTCCGCTCCTCAGAGTACAGGGCCCCCATGAAGGCCCCGATGGACGTCCCTCCGACCATGTCCACAGGGATGCCGCACTCTGTCAAGGCCCGGATGACACCAACCTGGGCACAGCCTCTATGCCCCGGGAGCACAGAGCAAGAAGTCAGCGCCCCACCGGGCCTGCTGGGACCCCAGAGAGGGTCGTCCCATTCCACCCCTGCACTCAGCTGCCCGAGTCCTGTGTGGGTCACAGAGAAATGAGCAGAGACGCCGACTCAAAGGGGCTGCCGACCCCCTTTAGGTGCCTCTCTGGTCCTTCCTGAGAG